CTTTCTCCGTTCATACAACAAACACAATCATGAACACTCCAATCAAACTTGCCTTTCTCTTCTTATCCGTGGCCGCTACCGCTGCCGCAACCGCTTCACCAGCCAAACGCACTAACTACCTATTCACACCGCACGCAAAAGCAGTCGCGGGAATATGCACCGTAATCCAATCAGACACAAGTTTATGTTGCAAAACCCTTAAACACGTTCCTACCGATGATCCCATCGAATTAATCCGATCATTAGCGGTTGCGGCCGAAACGTCCGTTAAACAAAGCGTGACTTTCCTCAACGAAATCAAACCAAAACACAAATCCAACGCAATCGCAACAACCGTTGTCAACAGTTGCGAGAAAAACCTAAACTACGCATTGGAAGATTTCGCCGATTTTTGGAAAGCTACGGGAAAAGATGTTACGACGTTGGCTCATAATTATTTCACGTGTAAGAAGACGTTGATGTCAATCATGGGGTATCATTCGACTTGTTTGGATGATATTGAAGACAAGAATTTGTTGAAGGAAGTGGAGAATGGGATTGGAGTTGGGAAGAAGCTAAGCAGTGATTCGTTTGATGTGTTTAATAATTTGAAAGCCATTTTCAAGACTTTTGGTATTAAGGTGAAGCTTAACGAGGAAGACACTGCACCCCGACCGCCACCGTTGTCGGATTATTATTACTGATTAAGGAGTTGGATATGTAATAGTATCAATATCGGATTTGCCTAAAGCGATCGCGAATGGAATCATAGGTGGTTCTATGTCATGTATGATTTTACGTCATTTGTGATGTAAGTTCTAGGTTTATACATGTACGGACGGAATTCGTGATGATTGGAAAGGTTATATATATTAAATTATTGATTTTTTTGTTTACACATTATTATCAAACATATTAGTTAGAGGATCCTAAAGTTTATAAAATGACGACTTCGGGGGTCTATATGATGTGGACTTCACTCCCCCACATCATCTCCTGCATCAGTCATCCTCAAAGATATCAAACAACTTATCCGATGCAGATTCGATCCGCTGTCTTGTGTTCAACATAACAATCCAGCAACCACTACCTTGCTAACTACATGGTTCTCTCTTTATTCACTTCGTAAGTTTAGCGATTGCTATTTCTTCATTTATTGTATGCAGATCGTTATAGTCCGATCTGATGATTATCAGAGCTGTAACCCTCAGGGGATTAGTTGTATCTTTCTGTTTAATTAATGGAAAATTATATTTAAAAAAAAAATGTGGCCGTTGTTGCTAAGGCACCATTTTATTAAAACTATTGTAGCCTAGGTTGCACTAAGACCGGTACGGAGATAAGAAACGGGGACGGGCACCAGGACGGAAAATGATAATACTAAAAATTTATGGATACGGGTACGGTAGGGATACGTCA